GTTAAAATTCGGTCAAATCAAGCATGTCTGAAGCCTAATGAGATAGTTAAGGTGCTCACGGTTGGTATGTTAAAATCGACCATGCCAGAAAACAATTTCGCTCGACGAAATGTGAACATGCCGACATTACAGTACGTACGGTAAGATAAAGCATGTCATGATGAGGCAGTTACTAACACGTCAAAAGACTGTTGTTGTAGTTAACATTGAATTAATTGGTATGCTCACATATAGCACGTCAGAAACCTGATGTAATTGAATAAAGTGCTCACGGACCAACTGTCGCTATGATAACACCGAGCATCCCGAAAGCTTTTTGAAGTTGTGCCTCACATTGAAACTATTGGAATGCTAACATCTGTCATATCGGGTGCGTAATAAGCTAGCTAAAATGCAAACATAACATATCAGGAACCCAATGACCTGGATCAAATATCATTACAACAAAGTAAGCTAAAAATCGAGCATGCCAAAAGACTATCGTGGTAGAAAAGAAAGGACTAAAGTAGGCCTGCTAATATGAATACAACACGTAATGCCTTTAGACTGGCATTTGAAAATCCAACACAAAAACTCTTGTGTTGTCACGATGCACTCAAAAGCTCTCCAAGGTTGTCATGGCAGCTCCACATTGGACGCTGTCCTCGTAATTACAAAGCCACCGAGGTTAATTTGAACTAGCATTACCGTTTATTGCTAGCTTTAATGAGCTTTAACTTTAATGTTACAAGAAACTTGCTACTGTGGGTGAGTGCTTCCAAATAATTCCAAAGGTGTCACGTCATGGGAGGACAAAAGAATAAAAAGCCTGCTGACGTTGCAATGGTCATTGGATTGACAGCGTCAGGCACTTGGATGAAATGAACAGTCGGGCCTCGGGAGGTGGGGGTCCTTTTACTGGGGGTGGGGGTGAGAAGACAAGAAGGAATCATTATAGTATCACATGAAGGCCCTCTGAAACAAAGGAAACTTTATCTCAATGCACTTCCACTTTGAGCTCAGCACTGAAATGCGCGCACACACACGCGCGCGCGTGTGCGCGCCAAGAAAACAAGCAAGCCGAGTATGCTTGTCTCCGGGTCGGTGAGTTGGATAATCCTATGAGTCGCCTGACCTCCTCCATGCATGCCGCCGCCGATTGGCTGAGAGCCTATACACTAAAAGAAGGAGTGGGAGGAGGGAGCGCTAATATTATTATGTAACCGTGGCAGATGGGGTGGGAGAGGTGTGGGACTGGCCCTGGTGGATGAGCATTGACACTGTTGTGATGCACGTTGAGGAAGTGAGAAGACGCAAAGGAAGGGAGAGCTTGAAAAAAAAAGGGGAAAGCAGTACAGTAAAAGAGTGAAATGTGATTTCCTGCCATGTGCGGTTGCATATTCGACAGAGGGACTTCTCACACATTCACACAAAAACACACACACACACACATAGTTGTGATGCAATGGAGCACATTGCCGAAAGAGGTCGTAATGAATAGAGGAAACACAATGATTGTGTTCACTTCCTGTTATATATCCTGATTAGAGCAGCCTCTGTGGGTTTCATGTGGTAAAAAAAACATGAATAATAAATGAAAATGGCGAGCCATGACTCATTTTCACAATTCAAAACCGTTATCCTGTGAGATGCTTTTGTCCAAGTAGCCCAAGGTCCAAGAACTTTCATGTTCCACACCCTGTTGTTTGTCTTGATGAAATTCGACCGTCTTTGTGCGGCCAGCCCTCATGTTGCTGGGTCAATGATGAGTACAAATCTCGTTACCCTGACAACAAAGGGGCCAAGCTAGAATCTCAAAAGGCGAGTGTGATCTCCTGACAAAGACGGCATCGATTGTATTTTCTCTCCCGTAGTCGGCACGTGATACATGACTTTCGTTGGTGATTTGGCGCTTGCGGCGGACACGACGGCAAACCAAGATATCACACCGCGTCCTTTGCAACAACAACCTCGTCGAGCATTCAAATAGGCAGTGATTAACAAAGTTCATTGCTGTTAGCTACTGCTAATCTTTACTCCCAACAAAACTCAATGCAGCTCTGCTTACCTTTGCTTTTGATGGACTGTCTTCGACAGTGGTAAATGAGTCCCACTGTGATGTCACAATTGGGTGAAATTCAGGACGGAACGCTCGCAGACACATTTTCAAAAATCAGCAAATAAACAAAATATTGAGTTACTTTGACATTTGATGAGTTGGCAGGCACTTCTAAGACCACACAAACACAATATTCATAATATAGGGAACATTTTATCATTTCTAATCACCGTGTTGATTTTTGTCACAACCATAACATAAAATCACCATGAAAAATGACCAGTCGGCAGCTATCGTAGCCGTCTGCATCTTCACTCAAGGTCCCCTCTGCCAGCATGTACGGTGTGTTATGTTTGCAATGTACCGTCAAATCTATATAGCGCTTCACATGCATGTGTGCCAACAGAGCAAATCCCAGTTGCTGAGTTTTGCCTCCGCTTCAGTTTGCGTGACTTTATTTGTGGGATTGTCCCTTGTTTGCAGCAGATTTATTTGCTTTCGTTGTCTCTGTGTTGAGAAAATTACTGATGGACAGCTCCTAATGAGGCATGAACCTTCCATGGATGACTAAAAAGGCGCGTTTGTTTGCACAGTCCAGAGGGGATGACTGTAGTCGTGGAATCCAATACCATCTTGTGGTCATTTTAAGGCATGAAAGTTCACCTGGAATGTGTGAAATTTAGAATCAACTTTTCTTCTATTCCATTACGTTCTTTTCTTATAAACAATGATTTCAAATTAAGGGGTGTCCCGATCCTAATCACGTGATTGGATATCGAGCCCCCATCATTTTCAAATGATTGGAATTAGAGTGAAAAGTACTATGTCATGAAACTACTATGTCAAAGGACACCCAAATCAAGGCCAGATACAGTACAGTAAATAAGTAATGGTCGGTCAAAGAGTGACCATATCGATGGGATGCCCTGTATTTTCTGTCCCCTTTTCAAAGTCACGGTGAACCGCGGCGTCTCCTAGCTGACTTGTGGCAGAGTACACTTTGGACTGGTCACCAGTCACTTGGAGAGCACAAAGAAACACCATGTCTATTAATACCATACAGGTGGATGAGTCTGTGCCAGACCCTCACAATGCAACACCATGTTCCTGGTTGCCTCCGAAGTGCTTAGACTGTCATGAAATCAATGGAAGATTGATCATATTCTGGTTAACTTGACATGCTTTTGCATCTCTCTTATGCAAGGGTCACGCTCTTCATTCCAGACTTCGGGAATGAGTTTCCTGCTCACCACTGCCCCCACCCATCATCTGTTTACACCATCTTCACAGCAGTTGTATTTTGTCAGCCCGCTGGCAACACAACCGTCCTTCCCGTTTGGCGACCGGCTCTGTGTGCGCTTAGAGGAATCTTGAGCGAGTTGGCTGCTAAGTAAGCCACGGTTAACCTTCTTAACTGGGCCTCCTCCAAGATGCGAACACTCAGGGCTCCGTCTTTAGCCGCGGTCCGGTTTTACGTAAGATAGCGCCGTCCTTCCGAGCGGTTGTGAGGTGTTGGCCAGTGTCAATTTAGCCCGGGTGCGTGGGTGGCAGGGTCACTGAATATTTATGTATGCTAGCACTGTGCACATCAATAAGGAAATAAGAGAGTCAGTAGGGACAACCTGCAGCATTTCAGCGCATGAGCTGTATCAATATCAGGGCCTGCATGCAAAATCGTGATCAAGTTCCGCATCATTACCAAGCTTCACCATGTACACCATGTTCCCATTTGACTGAAGAAATTGCTTTTAAGTCGACATAGCAATGACATGCAATGATAGAATGCATACCTTGAACCTGACATACTTATAACGTCTGCTGGCACTGCGCCCCGTATGCTGAACTCGCTCCTCTAAATATAGTCGAGTTGGGATGATGGCCAAAGTTTGTGTGCTAGTTTTGGAGGCATTGCAGGATATTTAGCTTAAAGCAATGCAAAATTAATTTTCCTTCACCCTATTTGGTATCATTTATGAACCTTAAAAAAGTAAATATCAATGGCATCTGATTCCCTGGACAAAAAAATAAATAAAAGGTGCAAGCTGATTAAGGATCAAAATAATGACTTACTTTTTATGGCTGCCATTTTTGATATGTTTGACCAGTTTGTGTAATCACTGTGACGTGTCCCGTGGTGTAACACGCTATTGTTCATTTTTGGACTTATTTCCTGGTCTATTGTGCTATAAAAATGCCAAATGGCATCGTCAAGTATTCCCATTATTTAAAAGGCACTCCTAGCCATCTCAGGTTTCGTATTGTTCCTTTGAGAAAGTAGAGAAGAAAAAAAACTTATTGTGGGAGTGTACTATGTGGTGGTGTGCAACCGGTCCATTACGGTGGCATAATGGATGAAAACAGTGGTGGATGCCCACCAAATTTTATGCAGACGTGTAGGCGTTTGCTAATCACTCACTGAGATTTTTTCAGCAAAACTCACATTATTTGGAATTATATTAATCTCAGAATGTTTTATGCATATCAATGAATTCACACTTAAGGGCGTACGACATAAATATCATCCAAAATATTGCGAGTTTTGGTCTAATATTTTCTCTTGTGCTGCTTTAGGTCAAGATCAAAATCTAATTGAATAGTTGAATTGTTTTTTTTTTTTTTGTTTTGTTGTTTTTCCTCCAATCTCTGGTTTGCTCATTTTCAGGAAATAACGCCCCGGGGCATGCAAGAAACATTTTGTCCGGCAATAAAACAGAAAATGCAGAATGAATGACTTGCTTCCTCTGAAAAAAATAAGCACAAATGGTTGTTCTATGGTCCGCTGAATAATCAGGTCAATATTTTCAGAATGTCTTTTTTGAGGGTTTTTTTTTTTTTTTTTTTTTTTTTCGGTTTGATCTTTGACATTGAAGAACCTTTCCTGAACTATTGTCGCACGCGTCAGATTTCCATACTTTCATACGACATCAATACATGTTCTTTTCTTCCTCTCTCTGCTTTCTAGCTCAACACCCAGAGCAGGAGCAGAGTCCAACAGTTCTGTCGTGCCGGGTCAATCGAAACCCAACGGGCAGACCCACAAAGTGTGTTTGGTGTGTTCGGACGAAGCCTCCGGATGCCACTACGGGGTGGTCACGTGCGGCAGCTGCAAGGTTTTCTTCAAGAGGGCCGTGGAAGGTTGGTCTTGCACTCAAAAACAAGCGCGCTTGTGCCCCGTTTCCACCAAGCGCCACAGTTGATCGTTCTTTATGTAGCCGATGTAGCTAACAGGAACGCAGCAATCGAGTCAAAGAATCGATCGAGGAAATTGAGCCGAAAGCTCGTCATGAACCTTTTACGTGTGCAGCGCAAAGGAAAATTTATTTACCGTCTTGCGACCTGAACTGTAACGCCTGGTGGAAATGTGGCTTTAGCCGTACCGTTGGCGCTCAGGTTGGTGGCCCCTGCTGGTTGTGACTTCTGTGGGGGGCCCTCAGCCTCTGTGATTCAGCACCGCCCCCTCTTCCCTGACCGCACAAACACCACATCCTTTTTGCATCGCTTGTGGCTTCCAACTTATAGTTCCGACCTTTTTTTTTGCATGACTGCACATTTTCTCTGTGCTTTCCTGTCCAAGCGAGGACGACTCACCAGTGCTTTGGATTGGCGGAGAAGCTCGTCATAATCTTTCAGAGCAATTTTGCACACCCCGCATCATGGGATCATCGCATAGGATGCTCTGTTAGAGGCCTTCGATCATAATTTTCAAATGAAGTGCCACTGTTGCAAATGTGTACCCCGCTTTACCCGAAGTACAACCTTGACAAAATCAAAATGTGTGTGTGTGTGTGTGTGTGTGTGTGTGTGTGTGTGTGTGTGTGTGTGTGTGTGTGTGTGTGTGTGTGCGCGCGCGCGCGTGCGTGCGTGCGTGCGTGTGTGATGAATTGCATTTCATATTGTAAGGTTGGACATTTTTATTTGTTCAGAAATATTTTTTTTACATCTGTTACTTTTATGTTTGTTTTTCTCCCCAACCCCACTCCCGCCTCCACCCCTCCTCAAACAACCACCTGCCCTCTCCATTTTCTGGTCGTTTTCTCAATGGCGAAGGATGGAGAGCACGACAAAAGAGTGATGGTAAATAAATGCAACTTTCAAAAATAACGCTAATCGTTCTGGTGACGGTCATGATGAGAGACGCTCCCTGATGAGATGATTTGTCCACGCTTGTTCTGTATCCTTTCTTGCAAACACACTCGGCCACTTCTCTTGGCTTTGCATGAAAATGTGGATTTGAGCCTTTTGCTCCGGGAGCGTTTTATTGGTATTGCTGGGAATAACAAGCGAGGCGCACCTTCGCATAAGAACAAAGTGTTCTGTTTTTGTAATCATAATTTCAACCTGTATCTGCTTGGTAAATAATTGAGATTTAATGAATTGTATAGTACATGCGTGCCATAGAAGTACATCATTCTGCTGATTGTCTGGAGTCCGTATAACGGCGGCTCATCTCGAAGCAGCTCACAGCCTCTGGCACAAACAGCTAATTTTTATTCTATTTTTTTTTTTTGACAAATTGTATTAATCATGTACTATCGTCAAATTGGCAAGAAATTAAAAAATATATATTTTTTTCTTTTGGGGCAAATATTCCCATGAACCAACCAATTGATTTCTATGTCCACACATGATTTGCATAATCGGCCCAGGAATTCGTTGCATTTTATTTTCACTTTATTCTCACTTCTTCCCTCGCATTAGTAATTTTTGAATCTACTCCCATTTGGTCTCATGATTGAGATAAGAACATCCTATATTTGCTGGTTTGCCATCTTATTAACATGCTGCGCAGACGCAGTCCATTCTGCTGTGTTTTCTCAAGGTTACCGAGACAAATATGCCGAGGGATGCGTCGCAGAAGCAGCCGCTGCAGCTTCTCATTGTACTGCAGGGCTGAAAGTTGCCGAACCTCCGCCAGCAAGGAAGCAAAATCTGGCTTGGCGTCAGCTGCCACTCGTCGCACGGCAGATGACGATTTTGCGCCATTGTTTGCGAAACCGCCGACGGCCGGCGACAGAACTCGGCTGCTGTCTTGTGGTCACGCGTTGAACCTGCTCGTCGATTTGCACGTTATGGGGGCGGAAATTGCGGCAGCTGATCGCGCACTGATTCAGACTCTTGTCAACAACGTTTCACGCTCAAGTAACCACACGGTAGATAGAAAAGCATTCACATGAATATTCAAACCAATTCAGTGTCTATGTGCATTTTTGGGGGGAATGCGGGAGGAAAAGGGCACAACAGCAAGAAAGATGCACAAACTACTACTCCGCTGTTACATTTTTTTGTCTTATTGGTAAATCATTCATGATCGTCTCATAATTGAAATTATGGACTATACGTGATAAAAGGAATGATTTTGTAATACATTCATGCAAGTTAACATTGCTCGAAAATAATCCCATTCATAAATCTTTTAAGAAATTGAATTAACGTCAATTTAGCACCGCATTAAACATAGTTGGAACAAGACTAACGCTGACCGACAGCGGAAGGCCGCTCATTTACATTCGAGCTTTTTCACTTCACAGTTGAATTTCAATTTATAACAATGAAGGTTCTGCTGCTCATCGTAGTATTAAGAAAGTATCATTGCAAAAATAGCAGTAATAAGTTGTTCGATCACAATCCGATCATGAGATTGCAAATCGGGGCCGATGACGTTATTTTCAGCTGATCGGTGTCTGTGGGGGGATCGGATTTTCTCATTTTCGAAAATCACAAATAAAATATTTTTTGTTTACTGGATTTTAAACACTGCTGATATAAAAAGTTATGTTGTGATACTTCACTCAAAAAAAAAAAATTAAGATAGTTGATAGGCACTCCTTTTTTTTCGTAATGCTTTACCGCGGTAACGGGTTGAGAAACAACTGACTCGGACTTGGGTGCAAAAAAAACAAAAAACGTGATTGAAACGTCTATAGTAAGAGCTTTTAGTATTTCTACATTTCTATGACTATAATTTTGAAATGAAGTCTTTGCAAAGCAGGCATTTGATTTGCTTGCCACAACCTGATCCTAACATGCGATATGAAGCCATTTGCTGAGCTTGTGACTCATCCAGCAAATGCGCTCAGACGCCTCTTTATGAGCAGCACTTTTAAAACATGCCGCTGTTGCGCCTTGTAGCATTCTCGGGAGCACTCGGTTGTTCACTGTATCCGCAACGCCTCTCTCGCATTGTCTGCGTGATACGCTGAAGAAGCGCAGTGCGAAGCACTCAAGGTGGGCTCACATACCATCTGCTAGATACTGGATTTAAAAACAACATGCACCATTGTGCCAAAGTCCATTAGCTAGAAAGAGAGAGAGAGAAAATATAGGTACGGTCAGATATATCATATTAACCATGGACCTGATCCCTCCTCTTCCTCCGTGCATAACTGCTCAGACCTCGCCTCTCTGCTCGCCGAGACGGAGTTAAAAAAAGTTAATTGGAGGCAAGTAACTTCAAAGAGGTGTCTTGTTTTACCCTTCTCTGCAAGCAGACAATCTTATTGTGCCCTCCTTAGTCGAAGTAGAAGTCAAAAACAAAAGCAAATCACTAGTGACAGTATTCGCGGTTATTGAAACCTGACATTATGAAACCACATTAGACCGTCAAACTGGTCATCGTCCCGTGCCTATTACTTACGCTGTAATTGTAGTCACGCAATAACTTTGAGGTTGTCAGGTTTTATCATGGAATGACATCGAAGACCTCTTTGAAAGACCTTTCCAACAAAAGTCCCGTTTCTTTCTCAATTTAGCTTCTTACTTGCGTATTCATTTCATGTCCGTTGCATTTGCAGTTACTTGTTCGACAACACATCCGTCCGAATACACTGGTGATTCCATGCGTTGTTATCGTCATTTCTCTCTGTTCATATGCATCCCACATCAAAAGACATAACCCAGCGTTTAGCGCCGTCGTTCTCACGTTTGCCTGTGTTTGCTTCTTTGCGGGCTGTGGTCTCTTTGTTCAAAATGGAGTTGCATGCAAAATATGATTAACCTGTAAAGGTTATGCCTCGTACTAATGAACCTTTGGTCATGAATTATTACATGTCGTGCGAAGGGCGAGTGAAGGCTCACCTTCCTCATGTTCAGACTTGACTGCACTGGATGGCAGACATCTGACGTTGCTGAGCTTAATCTCTCGCACACTTTTACTTTCGCTTGCTAGTGTTTTCGCTTGCTCAAACCTTTTTTTTTTTTTTGTCGGTTTATGTTCTTTCTTTTTTTTCTTTTTTTTGTTTTAAACAGGCCAGCACAACTACCTGTGCGCAGGAAGGAATGACTGCATCATCGATAAGATCCGCAGGAAAAACTGCCCAGCCTGCCGCTTCCGCAAATGCCTTCAAGCTGGAATGAATTTGGAAGGTAAAACTTCACAATTTGGAATAAGGGGATACATATTTTTTAAATTTTGCTATATATATATATATATACACACACACACACATGAATAAGTAACAATAAAATGCCCAAAAAACTGATGTAAAAGAAAAAAAAACATGAATAGTGTCATTTAATGAGGAAGAAAAAAATAAAAAAAAAACATCTTTCATTTGATGTCAAAACAAATGTTACCGTGAAATGTTAACGTTTTACAAGATCAAAGATGATCGTCAACCAAACAAATTGGATACCGCAATGATGAAGCCGAGAGAATGAGAAAAAGACTTTTTGGCCATAAATATGAAGCAGTGGAATGAAAAACAGTAATTATAGTTGGTAACTGAGTTCAGACATGTAATCCATTCGAGAGCTACGCTCGCTAGCTGGCGAGGGATCTGAAGTTGTCTCACGCCCTTCTTTTGTTGCCATGCATGACGGACTGAGTGAGAGGCCGGCAGCAAACGAATGACAAAGGCACTGATCCATTGACGAGACACTTCTGGAGAGTTAGTCTAATGCTCATTAGCTGGCTAACTATACCCATTCAAATGACAATACACAATATGATAAGATTCGTCTCAAGAGTATGCCAATGATGATTCAATGATTGCTTTGCGAACGACCTCTCAGCCTTACAGTGAGGTATTTGGCCTACGTTCCAACCTGCCAAAACAAACGGCAAAGTGACATCCTGCAACTTTCAACAGCGTTGTTGAAGGGCTGATAAAAGTCCTGTAATTACTGTTTCTTTGGCTTGTTTTGACCAACGCGTTTCAAAGCCACAGACGTGTTATTACGACACCTGGGAACGGTTTTACAATGTGGAAGTATGTTCTAATATCTCCGGGGAGGCAGCTGTGTTGAACTGCGTGATCGCACAGACTGTTGGACGGATTTTTCACTCTGGTAACATGATCGGGCGCACCTCCGACCTTACATGCGCAGCGTTCACGCAGCTCCTCCTGCAAAGCGGAGGTAATAAGACACGGCTAAATCCAAAATAACAGTGAGAGATAACACGGCTCCTGTTTGTGGCCTCTAAACATCAAATGACCGACGGCGATTTAGCTTGGCACAAAGACTTGATTCACGGCCACGCCGCCTCTGTCCAAAGGTCACCTCCACTTGCGCTAAACCGCTAAAGCTCACCAATCAATTTTGAGCGTTTAACCTTTATTTAACCAGGTTGGTCCCATTGACGTTAAGAACCGCTTTTCCAAGAGAGACAAGCAGCAGCAAAACACGGACATTCAGAGAGAGAACACCTGAAGTTAAAAATAATCATAAATTGTTCAATCAGCCAAGCTAAAACGTCTCCTGAAACTGCCCCCATGTCTTTCAATTTAGATTTTAAAACATTTAAGGACATGAGATCCTTGAGTCCGAACGTTGGGAAAAGAGCGCAAAAAGAGGTCCTAATAACGCAGTGAATAATGCCGTGTACGTTTCTGCCGGATAAAAGCACAAAGATAGGAGGGGGAAAAGCAGTCGTAAAATTTGCCTGATATCTGAAGGCGTGCCAGTGAATGAGCCGGTGGCTCGCCAAAGCAGGCCATCCAACCCAAGAGTACAACTCAACAGTGGTGAGTCAGAGGGTAACAATTTGGAAGGAACCTCCGAGATGCGTGGCAGACGCCTATCCATTTAATGGAGACACTGTGGCAGAGGAATGCTCGTGTAAAAAGATCACTGTTGGATAAAACAGGTATTAAAAAATAAAATCTATCTCATGCGAGGGCATTTTGTTCCATGTAAGAAACCAAAACAGAAGGCTGTTGGGGCATTGATTTGATTGATTTGAAAAAAGTCGGAATAATGGAAATAGAATTATTGTGACTGCTTGTGCATGTGGATGTATCTTGTCTTTTGCCCAATGATCATGGAGCTTGGAATTTGTTTCAGTTGTACCTTTTTTTTTTGGTCAAAGGTTCGCGAACATCTTTTGAACATGAAGAAAAGCAAAGAGACGAGACAGCCTAAAAATCCAACTTTTGCATTTAGTGTCCAGTAATCATTGCGGCTCAAGTCAAATTGGATATACAATTAACTTAATAAAGACATGCGAGCAATTTCCCCAAGTCTGTCGAGTCGTTCGGGGCTTGAAAAAGAAGACGTGTAATCAATTTGATATCTCTGTGAGGGAAAGGAAAAAAAAAGGCTAGTCTATTTGATGGACACCGCTGTTGTTGTGGGACTGCGAGTTGTCATGGAAACCGTGGAAGAGGCGAGGGAATAAAAAATAGGGAGAGCGCAAGGAAGCGCGGCAGACTAAATGCGTCTTCAGTGTACTGTATGTGAAACCTACCAAGTGCTTTTGGCCTCAGCCATCACTGTTTGTTATTATCTGACATCTTTCACCAATATCTTGTTCGACACACGAATGGCTTCGTATCAAGTTTTGTATATTTCTCATTGTCCCACCAGCGAGGAAGAACAAGAAGCTGAAGAGGAGAGAGCAGCAGAGCATCCGAGCGCTGGAGCCCGCCGTCCCCGCCATGCCCGTGCCGGTCATCCCCGCCTGCATGCCCCAGCTGGTGCCCGCCATGCTGTCAGTGCTCAAGGCCATCGAGCCCGAGATCATCTACTCGGGCTACGACGGAACGCTGCCCGACACGTCGTCGCGCCTGATGAGCACGCTCAACAAGCTCGGAGGGCAGCAGGTCATCTCGGCCGTCAAGTGGGCCAAGTCGCTGCCAGGTAATGAGAAGCCGTTTCGGCTGGGCAGCGCTCGCCTTCTCATTTGTCGTCTGGCTTGTAATTGACACCGAACGGTGGAAACGTGAGCCGAGTCTGGGCAGAAAACAGAGACCAATTTCTTCGGCTTTTTTTTTTTTTGTGCATGGGGCCACGGCCAACTGAGCATTTACACAATCAAGAGTTGTAATATTTGTTGCATCAATTCAGCTTTTTAATTTTTTTTCCCCTAAAATTTGGTCATTCAAAAGTACTTGATTATTGATTTCATGTACTTTTTTAAAATGACCTAATTAACTCATTCACTCCCAAAGACGTTTTTAAACGTCTTTTCAGACTTGGTCTAGAATTGGCTGGTACTGAATGAGTTACGTTAATTATATTGTTGGTCATTTAATGATAATATTTATTTAAATCGGTATCATTTTAAAAATGAGATATTCCGATAATTGAAAAAAATAAAATAAAATAACCACGAGAATCCACATGGGTGCAGCAGTGAAGCCGCATGTCGGGCTGCAGCTATCGACTATTCTCCAAAACGAGTACTCTCCCAGTATCTCATCGTTTAATCGAATAATCGGATACTAAATGGCTTTGCATTATTAAACAACAATGCAAAATGGTCCCCCGCGTAGCTCTGAGGCAGACATTTTGCCTGAGCTGTTTTATTATCCTCGCTGCATGACATCCACTAAAAGTGCCAAGATTGACAACACGACTCAAGCGGTACGCAAAAACCATGTGGAGGGGAGAAAGCGTTCGAAGATAACAAGCTGTGGAGAATTAAAAGTGGTGCTTTGCCATGCGCCGATCATGAAAAAAAGTAGCCACGTGACTCACTAATCGCTGCAAGTATTCTCTTGAGGATTTGCTCCCATCCTCTGATTACTAATACTTCTCCACAATAACCACAGTTCACATTTCTCATACACACACAAAAAAAAAAAATAGTGGATCTGATGTCAGGTATAACTTTTGTCCTCCCCAGGCTTCCGTAACCTGCACCTGGACGACCAGATGACGTTGTTGCAGTGCTCGTGGCTCTTCCTCATGTCCTTCAATCTGGGCTGGAGGTCGTACAAGCAGTGCAACGGGAGCATGCTCTGCTTCGCCCCCGACCTCATCATCAACCAGTGTGTATCGTCAGATGCTAGCGCATCTCGCGCTTTCTTTCTTTCTCTCTCTCTCTCTCTCTCTCTCTCTCTCTCTCTCTCTCTCTCTCTCTCTCTCTCATGACATTTACGAGTTTTGCCATTACAACCAACACAAAAACAAAATGACTTTTCCTTGTTTTTTGGACACCAATTTTCTGTTTTTGTTTCAATAGCAATAGATAAGTTAGTCCGCCGGACTACTCCATATGGACGTTTAAAGCTTGAAGTCAACTCATTGTATTTTTGGTTTCTTGTTTCCATTCAGCCAAAATATCAATGACATCATCAATGAATAGACCTCGACTCAGCTGTCATCACATCATAAATGACTATAAAAGATATCTTGTAATTCAGTTCCTATTTTAGATTTTCGATGGGTGCTTTGGCTTCCATACATGTATTTAATGAAAACCATGTAGTGTTTTGTTTTGGGTTTTTTGAGTATTTTTTTTTTTTAGCAAGAATAATACATGAATTATACTTTTCCAGACACAAGTGGGGTTTTTTTTCTTTTTTGGTTTGCTTTGTGTTATAAAAGTAAAACTAAAAGACCCATTTTATTCATCCAGCTTTTGTGCAACTTATTCAGGTCTGGAAAACATATAGGACAGATGATAACAGTGGCTCTTCCAGTACCGACCATGTGACCCGTCTTATTGCCTCGCTCTTCCTCAGAGAACGGATGAAGCTTCCCTACATGACGGAGCAGTGCGAGCAGATGCTGAAGATCTGCATGGAGTTTGTGCGTCTGGAAGTGTCCTACGACGAGTACCTGTGCATGAAAGTACTGCTGCTTCTCAGCACAGGTAAATTATCAAGCAGTACCCCCTCATTTGGCGCAGTATTGCTCTTATGATAAGTGGCATATTAAAAGATACAAATGATCAATAAGTAGGAAAATGAGAATAGGCGGCGGATGACCGTTGAGCACGTCCGCTTCACAGTGCAGAGTTGCAGGGTTCGAATCCGTGCCGGAAAACTTTTCAATAGGATCAAGCACGCTTGTGACCCTCGTGAGGACAGGCGGCTAGGATAATGGACGGATGGAAAATGAGAATATGTTGCTTGCGCCTCACTGGGGATGATTGGCAAGCTAATGGGTGCACTCAGAAAGGAGAATGACTTTTCTATGCTGACTCCAAAGCTATTTCCATCTGCTCCCCGGAGGCTTGTCGACACTATCAGGTCACGACAACTTTGAATCATTTCTAATTCGCTCCCGGGTTCATTCGGTTGGATTCATGACGACTGACGTCACCTGTCGCAGGCTTTATGTGGAACAGGGATTTATTAATTTTTTTTTTCCCTCCACTGAAACTCCAAAATGACAATCTGATAAACGTTATCAATAAATGATTGATTTTGAGGATATTTAGAAAAACTATCCAAGACCCCTAGGCATTAAAGGAAATGTTTTTAGCATATAGCCTACAAGTATATTTGAACATATTTGCATATACAATCAAAGAAGTTTGACAGTTAAAAATGTTCCAAGGCAGTTCTCATGCTTCCGTACTATCTTCTAGCTACTGTATATTTTTTAGCAAGCGAGTCTCCTGAGCTAGTTTGCCTATCTATTGAAATACCAATTTTAGCTCACTACTTAGCTTATATGGTGTAGCCCACTAGTTTTCAGAGCTAGCGTATATCGCTAGAAACTTAGCTCATCGACATAACCACACTAAAAAAAATATATATTAAATCCCACGACCCTGAACAGGATAAGCCAATATATTAAATGGATATTAGCTTTATTTTATCAAGCTCATTTTGTGAGCCAGCTTAATCCTCTCCTGTGTTATGTTCCCGTATCGCAGCCGACAGTATGCGGGCAGCACGGGAGTCAAATGTGAGTGTTTCTGTGAGGAGCCATGTTTGTGTTAACTGGCAATTCATTAGCATCATCACACTCGGGCACAAGGTTCCCGTGGGGTGCTTAGGAACTGCTGCAAATGCTCACACAAAGATTTCTAAATGTATCTAATATTATTGTAAGCCACTGTCACATTTTGCACAGGTGTCAAGAAGGGAAAGCTGATGTCTAACGAGATTTACTGTCACACCAGCGGTGGTTTCAATACCAAAGTTTTGTTTGGCTTTGAAAGATTTTGGGTGAACTCCGAAAATTGACTTTTTTTTTAACTGTGCATGTGTGTTCAGTGCCAAAAGACGGGCTGAAGAGTCAGGCGGTGTTCGACGAGATCCGCATGACGTACATCAAAGAGCTGGGAAAAGCCATCGTCAAGCGAGAGGAGAACACCAGCCAGAACTGGCAACGCTTCTACCAGCTGACTAAGCTACTGGACTCCATGCAGGGGGTGAGCACGTGGACGCACGCACACACACACGCTTACCATTTGGGCGAACGAGTCTGAACCGAGAACCTTATAACCTAACATGACTTCACCATGCTGCCAAATCAATACGTAAAATATAATCAACCGGTCAATCCATAACCAAAATGTGTCTTTTGGCAGATGGTGGAGGATCTCCTCCACATTTGCTTCTACACATTCATGAACAAGACGCTGAGTGTGGAGTTCCCCGAGATGCTGGCGGAGATCATCACCAACCAGATACCAAAAGTCAAAGACGGCAGCGTCAAGCAGCTCCTCTTTCATCAGAAGTGAGCGCCGTCGGGCATACAAGCCATGCCTTAAAAAAAAAAAGCTCCCCCACCACCGACCCTTCGCTAGACTGCCACATCCTTGCTCAGGTTTGACAACCGCCTGTCCATTTGGATCCACAGAGGAAATATTTTTGATATCAGCCTCCCCCGAGACTGAACGGTGTTCAATTTGGTGGTCACACGCTTTCACCGCCGACAGCTAAAAACAGTCATGTGTCGATCACGCCCCCCCCCCCCATCACCCGCCGCCGACCCTCAGAATGTAACGTGTCAACTATGTGATTAATTCTTTTTCCTCTGCGTGTATATAATATACCCCGAACTGCTTTCAGCTTGTAACAAGCCACAAAACACAGTAACTGAAAAAAGAAAAAAAAAAAATTCCTCTTGTCGTATTGCACACACACTCGCTTTTAAGCCAATTCAGCAACAGCACGTACAAGTGAGAAGGGAAACCAGTGCCTTTCAGCTCCAAATGCTCTTCATATCCGTTCAATTTGGGTGCTTTCTTTTTCTCTTTCTTTGACACGCTAAACTTTGCCCCCAACTTTTCACCGCGTGAAAACATCACTTAAAAAATACTTCACTTAAACAAATGCAAACATCACATACACAGTCGTGTTTTTTTTTTTCCTCGGATCATATAGTATCGCATATTATGGTGGGGAATCTATCATGAATCATAATATTTCACAAGAAATAAGTAATTTTCATGAAAAACTTTTTCCTGGGTATTATTATTTTTTGGAGTGAATAAAGTTAAAATTTTACAAGAAAAAAATACTACAACAAAAGTTGTACCATTACAAGAATGAAGTTGTGAAAAGTAAAAAAAAAATATATATATATAGATATCTATATATCTATATATATATATATAGAAATATATATATCTATATATATCTATATATATAGATATATATATAAAGAAAGAAGTTGTCCCCCTTTTAATTTGCGAGCAAAATACCTTGAGAAAGTTGAATACTTTTAACAAGACAGAAGAGTCTGTGTACACCAATCAAGTTGGCATATTGCAAGAATAAAAGTTATCATATAAAGTTATCATACTAAGAGGAAAAAGTCAAAATATAACAAGAATGACACTGGGTTGTCTTGTTTCTCCCGTTTTTATAAGCTAAAGACATGACTTCTAACGCATCATTTGTATTTCAACAATCATCTCCATTCAGTAATTGTCATATAAAGCGAACCCTTTAGTCCCATACAAGGTGTCATGACACAAGAGACCATGTCAAAGAAAAGAGAGTTATATATAGATATTATATATACATATGAAATATTTTTTGTTACCTTCGAAGTTGTTTAAAAAAAAATAGACCCATAAAGTTCTATTCTCTGCTCCACTATTTTCAAATGCAAAATCACTTTGAAAAAGGAAAAAAAACAAACAAAACAAAAGCTCAGGCTTGGTCACTGGTGCCAAAAGTCACAGGAGATTTGTACTTGGTGGCTTCTTTTGGTTTGATGTTTCAGTGGACTTGTGTGTGCGTGATTGCTCCAATTGTGACCATTTGCTTCAGGGTGCTCCGATACGAGATTCTCACAATGTACACCAGCTTCAATGTACTGATTATTAACTGGTATTATCATGCAGGTCATATGAAATACGGTAGCTTTTCGGGATGGGTTTCGAAATTGTCTTTTTACTGCTCCCTCACGCATTATATATTTACACACAAACACACACACAGACACACGGAAGCACGCATATAGATATATAATATGAGTGTCTGTCAACCAATGATGGACAACTTGTTGGACAATTTTCTTTCTTTCGACATTACCTGGAGCCCATTGATTTTCATTGTTGGGCTCTGGAGGAGTGAACTGAACAGTAGGGGGGGTTGCCATGGCGACTGGTCATTTGTGTGTTACTTAGGGATAAACGCACAGCATGCCTTAGACGCATACATTCACACACACACACACACACTTTTCCCTATGCTTAGAAACCAGCCTCGACATGGAAATGTAACATCTAGTCAGTGTACATAGGGGGGTGTGCAACAGCTTCTACTTGTGTGGGAAAAAAAACAAAAAAAACTTTGTTCTGTTTTAAAGTAAACCGCTTTGACTTCAGGAAAAAAAAAAATAAATCACACCTTTCTTAAAGAGTCACTGTCATTATAGGGTGCCTTTGAGATGTCCTCATGTCACCAAAATAAATGGAAATTTTCCACTAAACTTCATCATATCATCATTGTAATTGAGTAGGTGCTATGCTGTAAAAAATGCACATTGGATATTTTTGGCTCGCATTTTATGAGCAGACAGCAGATCTTGATTGAGCAACACGATTCCGTTAGCGAGCCGACTGTGTACCGTGAAACAAAATATTCACATTTCTGAAAGGTTTTAGTATCAGTTTTATATTTCCCTACAGGACAGCGTGAACATGTTAAGCTTGACACCATCCATCTACACACAAATGATTTTATATTGTATTGTATTTACACTTATATTCCAAAATATATTCAGTCTGCAACTATCCACAGTTTCAGCCTCAATTGAAGAAAGACAACATGCTGGTCATAATGTCGCTGAAAGTATCAGGGGGTTCCTTAAAGAAGCAATTACCCCGTAATGACAGGGCGGACATTTCAGAGACACACGCAAAATGTTCATTATGATTTTAAAAATAGAATGTATATGAGCAAAGGGACTCATTTTGCCAAATCACTTTGGTATGCACGGAACACCATGTAAAGGAAATGATTTAGTGTCATTTTAACCCCTGATTACACACGCTGTATTTAGCTGAGCCCTGTGCGGGTTATGCCAAAATTATGTACTTCCAATGAAAAAATTTAAGGTGTAAAATGAAGGAAACACATTTCAAGAGACTCTTGAGAGACCGTTTGACCACTTACGTTCTGATGAGGGTGTCCAAGGCACTTCATAGTGATATTGACCCATCTCCGTTTTCCCGTCCAGAAAAAAAACAAAAGAACGGTAGACTTCAGTTTATATGTTGCTAACCAAAAGAGTAGTACGCAAACAGCCATTGAGTCACATAACAGCTCATTTTCACACAGAGCCTTGTGTGACATCGGACTTGAATTATCTTGTAAATCACTTTCAGACTAAATTCACCCAAATTCACACAAGCCGTTGCGGCTTAGTGCATGCAGATAATTAGACACTTAACAAGCGCTTGTAACTCGAAGGGAAGTGTGACTTAGCCCGATGACCCCAAACTTTTTGTGAGGTTACCATATCGTCAACCTCATATGAAACCTTCCTGCGCTCTATTCCCCGAAATGCGTTCAGCTTCAAGATTTACACATATTGACTAAACAAAAAGAGGAGACAGAGAGCCATAACAGAAATTCCAAATCAGGAGACTGTTAAGAATATATTTTTTTCAATATAGCTGTTCAATCGGAATTATTCTGGTGAATTTCCGAGTTGCTGTCAAGTTGTGCTAAAAATGTCTACGTGGTGACGACATGAGCGGGTGCCTGTCTCGTGAGGCCAATGTAAATGCTACGGGTTATTGTGTGAAAGGAGTTTCGTTGAGGTAAGATTTGTGACCAAAGCTTGAGGAACCAACTCTTTAAAAACAAAAACTACAACAAAAAGTATTCAGTTACATTTGAAGTATCACTGAGGTTTCATCTTATTTTGAAAGGCATCTTTTCTTTCTTGTAACCGTCCAGGCTTTGGATCTCATCGCTATTGATGTGAGGAATACTGGTCACTTTAACCCCTTATGCCCCACCCCCTCCCAGATATGGTAAATAAAAAAATGGAATGTAAATCACTTGTAAATCGACCGGAGCCGGACGAAACTGCACTTACGCTCCTGTAGGTCGATAAGAGTCTATTTTGTATAAAGTATCATCTTTTAAGATTTTAAGGGCCGATCAAATTTTGCTGGTGTGTATGGCGTGTTTGTTTTGTTCGCATTTCAGTTCGATGTAATAAATGCAAACACAGCAATGTTTGTTTGAGTGGGAGGAGGGTATAAAAACAACAACAAAAAAAAAGACAAATGGTTTCTGATATGACTTGTGTATTATTTAAAGTACGCCCACCTTGTAGTCAATGTCGATATTTTCACCTCTTTGATTCAATGTTGAATTCTCTGTGTTGTTATTTGGTTGACTGGTGGGAAGTGATTTGACTTGAGGCCGATGACACAATAAAGTCAACAGTTTTTTTTCCCAACCCGTTTGCGCTCTTTCTCTGACAAAAAAATGTGCTAAAAAGACTTACCGTATTTTCCGCATTATAAGGCCCATAGAATAGAAGCTACAATAGTGGCTGCAATTGCGTTACAGGGAATACAATACAATACAACATTTATGAAGAGCTTTCACAACCGCTGCAGCTGTAACAAAGCACTTTACGGAAGTCCAAGAAATCGGAATATTGATCCATATATAAGGCGCATCGGATTATATGGAGCACTGTCGGATTTTGAGACAATTGAATGCTTTTAGGTGCGCCTTGTAATGCAGAAAATACGGTAATTGCTTCTTACGTTTCAGTATAAGTAGAATATGTATTTCCACACACAACAAAATAAATATTGGAAATATTTTATTTGATTTTTTCTGGCTCCCCAAACACTTGACAAATGTGACTGTCCCATTAAAAACTGAAAGTAGGCATAAAACAAAAAGAATCCAGAAGAACTCCTGCAGCATTAAACAAGTCTGCAATTCCACCACTTTTTAAGGCTGTAAATAAACTTAAGTGACAAAAAAAATAAAATAAAATTTAAAAAAAATCTGAGAATCAAAGCTGGAATCAAGATCAAGGAATTAAGTTAGTATGCTAAGAATACGAAATATAAAAATTTCATACTTAAAAAAAAATCTTATCAAATGTGTATGTAAGTATATATGTACAAAGTGAATAAAACACCTCAAATTCAGATTACAAGAAAGTCTCATAAATAAAAGTAGTCTCATTTCACATTGATGATGTTAGCGCAAGACTTTGGACACACTTGGAGGGCAAACGAAAAATGTCAACTTTGTACACGAGCATGTTGGAGTCCCACGGCAGGGTAGCTTATGCTTATTTATTCCAAATATGTACTTCAGGAGGAACATAACATAATTTCATTCAGTTCATGTTATTGAAAATGAGGTACAGTGTTCATCTTTTGGAAGGTTTTCTGAATTAACAATGTTTTTGTATGACTCTTCCTCATTTATCGATGTTTATTTTGGATATGTTTTAAGCATAAAACTACACAGTATTTTACTTTTGTCCCAGAAAAAAACATTTCAGTTGTTTCGGTCAGTTTTTGGATCAAAAATGTATTGATGGATACATTGTGATTGAAATTGAAGAAACATTTGAATTTGGTTCCTTCCAATGACTTGATAAGAATCCCTTGAGTGATTGTACAAGTCAATACACATATTGGGTCAAGCATCTGCCCCCTCCAAAAAAGCGCCTCAGTGCTGAGCGCTTTCTCATCAATGGCTGGGCACTTGTTTGAAATTGTTCCATTTTATTTATTTATTTTTTTACCACGGCCTCTTGTGTCATGAAGAGAAGTGGAGTGACCTTTGGATGAACTCCAGCGGAGGCCTCCTTGCAGTGAGCTGCCCAGGGTGTGTGTGTGTGTGTGTGGGGGTGGGGGGGGGGAGAGAGAGCGAGAGAAAGGTGAGCTGGTTACTGTGGCAACTAGGAGAGAATAATCATTTTAAAAATGCTCCTGACCTTATGGGGGTTGGGAG